TGGCTGGGGAATTCTGGGAGTTGAAGTCCACTCATCTTAAAGTGGCCAGGTTTGGACAACAGTGACCTAAATTAAAGCTTGATGAGCAATTAATTCCATAAGGAAAATGAGCAATTAATTGCATAATTAATAATTTGATTAGCATAATTGATGAGCATAATTGATGAGCAATTAATTCCATAAGGAAAAAGATCCAGCTTATTGACCATGGAAGACTAGGAGATGACTCAGAGAGAAAACCTAGTCCTGTGTAACAGAAGGAACTGCTTGGGGGAAATCCTGTTCAGTGGTACCTCGGGTCACGAACGCTTCTGTTCACGACCAATTCAGGTCACGAACAGCACCGTTCACAAAATTTTGCTTCCGTCCATGAACTCCGCATCGGGTGACGAACAGGATCCGCGGCCATTTTCCCTGCCGTGACACGTGGTTGTGGCTTCCTGTAGGGAGGGGGACTCTCCCTCCAAGCAATAACCGCCTCCCCACCCGCCTTCCTGTCCTCCACGCCAGAAGTCGCCTCAAGCAAGGTTAGCATTCTCTCTCTTCGTACTGTACTTTGTGTCATATTTTTGTGGTTAAAAAAACAACAACATATGGTTCAGAATGGATTAACCATAATTACATTGAACCTTATGGGAAAATTTGATTCGGGTCGCAACCAAAATCCGTTGGCGACCAAATTCGGAGGGGTCAGAACGGATTAACCGTATTTACATTGAACCTTATGGGAAAATTTGATTCGGGTCGCAACCAAAATCCGTTGGCGACCAAATTCGGAGGGGTCAGAACGGATTAACCGTATTTACATTGAACCTTATGGGAAAATTTGATTCGGGTCGCAACCAAAATCCGTTGGCGACCAAATTCGGAGGGGTCAGAACGGATTAACCGTATTTACATTGAACCTTATGGGAAAATTTGATTTGGGTCGCGACCAGAGTCACGGAACGAATTAAGTCTGTGACCCGAGGTACCACTGTATATGCATTTACTTGGAAGCCAAGGCCACTGGACCTTTATAGAGGATTCACACAAAATGAAAGCCACGTGGTGCTGGGACTAAGGTGTTGGCCTAGGGAGACCCCCCTCAGCCACAGAAACTCATTGGGCAACCTTAGATTGGTTACTCCCTTGAGGTCCAACCTAACTCACCGTTCTGGAGAAAAAATAGCACTATGGATGCTGACTTGAGCTCTTGTACAAGAAGTGGGGTAGAAATCTAACAAATAGATACAATGCTTTATAAAGTTAGTTAAAGACCTAGCAGCTGCATTTGAACAATATGCAAACCACAGCACAAAAATCTGTGACAAGAGCATTTTTCTGCAGTGGCCCATGACGTTGCCTTCATCTCATCCCCAGCTCATGAGTGAGACAGGCTAAAGTCATCTATCCCTATTCAGCTGTGCTGATATTAATAATGACTTATTAAACTTGCATGCTACCCAACTCTCAACAACTCCATTAAAGTAGCATTCCCCCACCCCTTTAATCTAACACCCTCCAAGGGCAGCCCCAAGACATATAATATCTGTTAAGCTTTGTCACATTTTCTTCTTCGAGACTACAGTGACTGGGAACAGAAGCATAGAATCAGGACAGGAATCAGTAGTGGGGACAAACGTCACGGTGGATTAGTTTTCTGCCAAGTAAGAGGTGGGTGGAGAGCATTTCCACTCAGCAATGGGGAAAGGACCGTAGCATGTTGTGTAAATCTGACCAGTTTGGTTGATTTATAAGTCAGGGTATTATGCAAACTTAATGAGAGCCAGTTTGGTGTAGTGGTTACGGCACCCAGCTAGAAACCAGGAGGCCATGAGTTCTAATCCTGCCTTAGGCCCAAAGTCAGCTGGGTGGCCTTGGCCAGTCCCTCTCTTTCAGCCCTAGGAAGAAGGCAAGGGCAAGCCACTTCTGAAAAATCTTGCCAGGAAAATTGCAGAGACCTGTCCAGGCAGCCACTAGGAGTCAACACTGACTCAAAAAAAAAAAAGTGCAAACTTAGACAATGAGTTAAGTCGATTATAAAGGGATTTACTTCCACAAAAGAAAAGATTTCAAGATCAAAATATACTGTTCCAAACATTCATAACAATGGAGGGGGAGAAAAGAACGCATGAAAAGTTCCGGCTGTTTTGGACTTCATAAGAACAGCGTTGCTTGAATGCAATGAATCCCGGCTACATCTTTCAGAGAGGTCGGTGAAAGGAGGTGGAAAGGACCGTTTCGTTTACTTACTTCCAGCTCTGTTGGGGCAACCGGCGGTAGAGAGGATCGAGTCAAGAGTCCGGGGATCCTCCCCACTCTAGAAAGCGGAAATCAAGTCCGGGATCCTTTACCTCCCATTGCAATCCACCCGCCCCGGAAAAACGAAGACCCACGATGACACGTTCTCCACTGCAACGCACGCTTCGAAACCGTGCAAGACTAGCTAAGGGTCACGGCAGACCCTCCTTTCGAAGCAACGCCAACAAGCGCTGGAACCTCGCCACTCGCTTTAAGGCACCTGAATCGCGGCTCTTTTTCAAATCCAGCCGTAAAGACTGATGGGAGCCAAACGCCTGAGCCGAAAAGGATCCTGGGAAGGGTAGTTCACTCCCCAAGTGCGGCAGGAGCCTCTGGTTCGCGGTACGGACGTCTGTGTAAACGAGTGCGATAATCTAAGGACTGGCTTGAAAGTATTTTAGACCGTCTACAGAGACCAAGAAAACCCGGTGCTGGTCTTTAACGCAGCGCAGGACGCTTCCTTTTACTGAGTGCAGTAGCATTTCCCAGACGGATTGCCCCCTCTGCGCACGCGTGTTGGCTCTTGCCAGAATTCTCCGCCAGGGACCTTTGCACATTTGGGAGTCGCTTCTGTTATGCTCTGTAGGACGAGCTTCTTAGAGAGGCTTTTAGCGTGCGCTCTTAGCTGTGAGGCCACCTCAGTGTTAGAGCTTGGAAACAGCTATTCAGAGTAAATAGCAGGAGATTCAGGAGGGACACAAGGAAGTTACTGATGTACGTGTTGAGTCAGTTCCCACAACAGGAGTGTCTACAGGGTATGATCAAAAAGGTCAAGATGGCAGCTGCAATGGTGTGATGGAAGCTCTGCTTGTTTTTTAATGGGTGATGCACGTGTGACCAGATAAAAACAGGTGGCGCTTCAGTTGCACTATCGCAGCAGCCATCTTGACTTTTTTGACCACACCCTGTAGTCACCCCTGTACCACAGTAAACTGAACCCTGCCCAAGCTCCTTACTGGTGACTCTGGCAGTACACCATTATACTAACTGGCTCAACGTTTGGAAAAAAGAACCTCTACCCATTTTTCCAGGAGGTGGCTCAGATTCATGTGCTAGGAGGAGAACGGCAAGAATTTATTATATTACTAGTCTCTTTCCTAACTTGTGGCTTGGCCATCACAAAGCTTGGAGGTGAGTTCTCTGCTGCCAGGCCATTTCCATGAGTACTGCAAAGGACAGCCTGATTTTTTTCTGCATAGGTAGTCCTCATTTAGTGACTGGCTCATTTAGCAACTGTTTGGAGTTACGATGGTGATGAAAGAGTAACTTTGCGACCAATCCTTGCATTTACAACCTTCTCAGGTCTGTAAAGCAAAGGAAAGTTGAAGTAAGATCATAAGCACAGCTGCAGTTTCACTTAGCGACTGTGTGGCTTAACAGCTGAGTTGCTGATCCCAATTGCTATGGACTACCCAGAGTTTTTGGGGAATTAGGTATGCCAAAACCTTGCTGGCAAGGTTGGCTTGTTTAAATGTTCCCCCAACACAACTGAGTTACAGAAGGGTCCCTAGCAAGAGAGGGAGGGCAAAAAAGTCAAGATGGTGGTTGCAACTGGGGGATTGAAGTATGTAAAATGGGGTGGGGCTTCAATTTCATGACTGCAACTGCCATCTTGATTTTCTTGACCACTCCTGCAGAGGAATCTGCTGAGTTAGTTTAACCCTGCGCATGGGGTTTGGGATTAAATTTAAGTTCAGGGAGGACAGCTGACTGAGTCAGTTGATGCCTTGATTTATTTGATTTATATCTTGCCATTTGTAGAGACGCTCACAGGAGGCATGCAAAGTGCTCCCTCCTCCTTTTTTCCCCCATGAGAGAAAATGACTGCAGGAGAAGAAAACATCTGTAGCTCAGAGTTGAACTGTGAAGTCCTCGGTGCTTCCTGAGCTTGGTTGTTTGCTCGCAGACATTTCATTACTCGACTAGGAAACATCATCAGTGTGAGAGAGTGTGGGGTTTGCTCCCTGTTTATATATAGTAGCTTGCCCTGCCAGTGGTGGTGGCAGTGTGGTTTTCTCCTTGGTAGTGCCTTGATTAGGGTATTGTTTTCTGCCTGATGGTTTGTCTGAAGTTAATCCCCGCTTATCTGGGTGTTGGTTGCTGGAGAGGACGTGTTTTGGTCTTTTTGTTTCCTTCTAAGCTTTTTTTATTGTCTCTTTTGAATGGCGTGTAAATATGGGTTATTTCTATGTGTGCATGTGTCTATATAAACAGGGAGCAAACCCCACACTCTCTTGCACTGATAATGTTTCCAAGTCGGGTAATGAAACATCTACAAGCAAACAACCAAGCTCAGAGAGCACCAAGGACTTCATAGAAAATGGCTGGGTCAAGGTCCCCCAGTGAGATTCCATGGCTGGGCTACACTCTGGGTCTTCCCACTCCTAGTCCAACACCTTAACTTACTTTATGACACATTAAACTTGTGCCCATTGACTCAGATCACCATTGTTGTGGGAACAGGTCCCTGTTGAAGTGGGAAATTTGCTGCCATCAGATGTGGCCTTAGATAAGATCAGTGTTGTCCAAACTTGGCCACTTTAAGATGAGTGGACTTCAACTCCCAGAATTCCCCAGCCAGCCATGCAGATGC